ATGGCCAGCTGCACCTGCCTGAACGTATTGTTCAAAGCGGGCGAAAGCTGGGAGCGCAGCGACGGGTCCAAAGGTATGCAATAAGCATCTGCCATAAGAGTAGCTGCGTAGGCTGGCGAGAGCAGCAAGTACTCAACTGTCATTGCAGAGGTCTTTGAGGGATCGATACTTGTCTCGCGAATCGGGGTCGGAATGGTGAGCCCGCCCTCCACATCCTCTTCAGTGGGACATTTGGAGACGCAACGGCCGTCGTTTAACATGATAGATGCGAAAGACTCGCGAGGGTCTAACGGGAAATACAAGTACGGCAGATCTCGAACCTCCGGGTCCACCCCGCATGTCTTTCCCTGGTAGTTCATCCCCTTAAAAAGGCGCGAAGGGCTTCCCTCGGTAAGTGCAAGGACCACAAAAAATAAGCAAAAAAGTAGAAAAGCAGAAAATGCTCCCAGCCAGTTTTGATCCGTCACACGCCGTTTCGGTTCAATGTCGGAAGCCATCACAGGGCCTATAGGGGGCGGGTCCGAAGTTGAATACGCTGTCTCATGAGCAGCAACCCCTAAATCCATAAATTGGACGCACAGGGAACACAATCTTCCTACTAAATATCATATGTACTTACTTACTTACATACACAGATAAACCCCCTCAATTCCCTTGTTGCTCATCTCGAATGCAGAAAAAAACAAAGTTCAGTCTTTTATTTCAGAAGTGAAATGGCACAATCGAAGGTGTCCTCTCAGTGCTGTCGCTGCAAAGCGGGTTGCTTCCTGATTAATCCTGTACAGACCTGGGATGCTGGTAGGGCCTTCATTTCGGTGAAAAGATGAAGTCACATAGCCCTGTGGAGGCATTCCAAAAGGAGGAGAGGAATACATATCTGAGGATCCGGGTTGTTGCATCTTTGCTGCGGATACATACAGAGCAGGCGTGCGCTCAGTGGCATTCACAAGTGGCAGCCCATCCCATTACCCCCGCAACAACCACAGACTGAAGGAGCCGTTAAGCTTTAGATGCATAGCAAGTAGTTTGTCCGAAAACGAAAAGAGCTTGCGGACATCAAAGTGGTACAGGCGTGCACAAGTGGGCAATGGCACAACAGCGAAGACGGATGCTATCAAACAGCCACGGGAAGCTCTTCGAGTTTTAAGCCCCTATTGCGGAGCCAATAGTGCGAGATGGGACAAACCGGCTGAACTCGTATAAGAAAATAGCTTGTCTGCTGCGAATTTGGCAAACATGAACTGGCATTGCACTTTGGCATTTCAGCTCGATGGGCCCCGCTGAATCCTGGACAATGCTCCCCAAATACCACTGTATTTCTTCTCAATACTCTCTCAGCCCCTTAAAATGGACAATTTTGACTTGGCGAACCTTGAAAGGATCCCCGAAACAGAGTTTTTCTGCCTGCGGAGTGAAGCCTTGATGGTGGCTGTCGGCCGCGCCTTCCAGGTTGCCGCGCCCTCGAGCACGCGAGGGGAAAACGGGTCCTAATTCTCAGGCAGATCAGTTTCTTGACAATTCGACTTTACCAATAAAGTCAAATAATTTGGTATAATGCCGCCACTGAGGGAGCGTCGTTCAGTCGGCGGCGACGTGGTAGGACCGGACGGCATCAAGTCCGCTAGCCCGCAAACAGAAGTGAACTGGCTGCAACAGGAGGCTTCTGTTATTTGTAGTTTCCCAGTTGGAAGGTTCTCGAGCTGTAAATTAATAATAATTTAATATCACGAAGGATTCAGGGCGTCGCCCGAAGAGGAGTCGTTCTTTTTCCCGCACTGCGGTCTCGGTTCGTGTCTAGCGGTGGCCAGTGTTAAACCACAAAAGTGAGGCTTGGACAAAGATATGCAACTGCCGTAATCCCTTTCTTTCAATGAATTTACTTCTGATAAAGCTCGATTTTGTCTCATTCATTTGTTTCGAACCCCTGTAACTGCAAACAACCGACGCTCTGTGCCTCTGGCTGTGTATGGCCTGCAACCTCCTTATTTTACGAAGGAGCTTACCCCTCGTCATATGCGTTCTGCCACCACCACCACACAAAAACCATTTAAAGTTTCTGCATTCAAATATTTCACGGCTTGTCACCTGTGGTTCCTGATCTGTGGCTCCTCCCTCCTGTCCTTTGTCCTAAAAGATATTAACGGGCTCCTTCGAAATAAAGCAGATTGCATGCAGTTGAATCTCCATTGCCTTCAGGCAGGCCCATTTTTTTTAAAGCTGCTTCTGACGCTCCTGTCCATTTAAGAACGCGACGAAAGGCTCCGTGCCTGTATCTTTCCCGCCTAGTCTAATGGATGCCGGATAGCCAAGCGTTCTACCAGGGCTTGCTCACTGAGTTTTTCATATTCAAGGAAGGGCATTAATTCCTTTTCTAAAGATGGTCAGTGTCTGCCTGATGAGTATCGCCGGAAAGTAACCTTCCTACGGCATGCCGCTCAACTGGCTCACGAATCTTAGACCGAAGAGCATGACAGGTATCTCCGCAGCAGTCCCGATCCAGCGAGATACCACACCAGCTTGAGCTGTCTTAGGGTGCGTTCCTTTACTTCCCAGGCTCCCCCTTGTTGCTGGTCACACCAAAGCCCGCCCCATAATTCACGTCTGGTTTTGGTGAAAGCTGGCGTTCGTTCTAGTAAATATTCACTGCCCTTGCATCACAGCTTCCACTGACGTTGCCGCAAGATCGGCACTTCGCTTCCTTCCGTTGCCATTTTGGGCCCTTCTTCCTCCACTTTGATAAACACTTAATTGCACTACGACCTGGGCACGACCAGAAGCTCTGCAGAGCACGTCTTTGTTTCAAGTGCCACTGCCCGCTGGAACTTTCCCTTTCCCAGCGGACAGTGGCACCAGAAACACAGAGATACTTCGATCATGGCACACGTCTGAATGATGCATGTTCTTGCTTGTGCGCGACGTGTTTTTGCTCCTACGGGAAGACACTACTGCCCCGGGAGCACAAAAGGCGTTCTGGGCATTCCAACCCTCGACAAAGTTGAAACAATTAGCTGAGGAACCAAATCACGCAGAACTTTGCTGCCACTTTGTCTCCATGTTATAGTAGTGGCTTAATACAGGCGCGGCGCATCTTTGCTCCCTCACATGCACCTAGCTCGCACTCGCTAGGCCAGTCGCAGTAAGTGGAGAGAAACTAGAAACAGGATAAGCTCACATTCTCCAGATATCATGAGTATTGGTGGGGCCTCAAGAAAGCCCTCTGGCTGGCTTCTGCTTCCACCTGACTCTGCCCATCACCCATGTACCTTGGGCTTCATATTTTGTCTACAACTGCCAAAATATTGACTGCTTCTCGGCTGGCCAGCAGGGCAAGGGGGCTTCTTGCATGAATTTTCAGACTGTTTCAGAACCGACTCCTCGCCGAATTCCGCCATCACGTTACTGCGTGCCTGCCTAGACGCTGTGATACAACACTAGCGCACTCTGCCATCCACAGTGCCGCCTATTCCCAGCAATGCTTAAACCCGCCCATGAAGCTGCTGCTTCGCATGCCGGCCAGTGGATCATGGGGCCCAGCGAGGGCTGCTGGAACTCCGCAGCGTCATGGCTAGGACAGCGAGTGATGGCTAGCGTGGAAAGCTAGCGGCGAGCTAGCGAAAAGGCGTTTTGTCATCACTTTACGCATTAAAGCAGAAAGGAACAGTAGGTGGAAGACCATCGTTTAAGTCTGTTTCGAATCCGTTTCCTGAAAGCTGAATCTCGTCAGCTCAGGAGGACTTTTATGTGCGAAAAAGGTGATGCTGAGGTGCTCTAACTCAGGTTATTTACTCATAGCATAGAAGCGCATGCTACTGGGCCAGACCGTGTCTTTCGGACTCTGCATATGCTTTTTGTTGACTCTTCGCAAGTTCAGTGTGACTGTGCTAGTCGTCTCAGTGCTGCAGAAACTGCTCCGTCATGCAACAGTGGGGGTCAAGGCACTGGGAATGACACGGCCTGCAGCTTTGAGAGAGTTCTTAACATTCATAACCTCAAACAGAGCGACGTCGCTGGAGGAATGACTAGCCGTATTGGAGACCAAGTTTAACGCGCAGGCACTACAGTGGGGCTTGCTGGTAACCTATAGAGGATAGCTAACTGATGACATATAGGCGGTTAAGAGGTTGAGACGCGGATTGAGCCCTGTAACCTCTTACTAGTGAAATACAAATGCAATTTATGAGCAAATTAACATGTATAAACTAGAAATGCCTGCGAATGCTCTAAGATTGGGGCTGCCAACAACGCCGGCACGGGTGCGCGTCACATCCTCACCGGACCAGCACAGCAAGAACGAGAAGAAACGACTTTAATGAAAATATGGGTTTCAGAACTCGAAACAAACGACCTTCTTAATACACTTGCAGACGTTACGCGACCGATGTGTCGGTAGTAGAGAATATTTCATTGAACGGCCGAGTTGTGGGCTGTGCAGCATCGTATACGCTGCAGAGAAAGCAGTGTACTACATTTGGGGGCTGTTCCGGGAACTAAAAGCTATTTTTTCCGGACCTGAGGTAGAAATACTTTACTTTAATAATTCGCACCTAGATATCTTAGCTGAGTAAGGGATGCACCTACGCAACGGACGCGTAGTCGGGCCTGTGCAACAGGAGACTTCTACAATGTCCGTAAACAAATTGCCCAGTGGAACACCAACCCAGTGTCGACTTGCTACCCCGAAACCCACTGTGGCAGAGCGTCCGCACGGGCATAAGGAGACACCTCTGCAGGTGGCACCTATAGCAAATGTTAACGGCATGCCAGGGGACGGTCCGTACGTCAAGTGGGACCAAAACCACTCTGCGATGGCTGTGATAAACAATGTTATAGGCGGGTCTGGAGAGTCGAACGCAACGTCCCCTATACTCCCTGAAGACGGCAGTACTATGCAGGCCTTTTTGATGCGTATCGAACGATGATGCACCCAGATGGGATCGGAGACCAGTGAGTGGGGGAACGCACTTACCGACCATCTTGTGGGTCCGGCTCTAACTTATTGGATGTATCTACGGCGAAATATCGACCTAAGCGACTGGGCCACTGTACAGTGCCGGCTTCTGGAACGGTTCGACAAAACAATGTCGCAGAGTCAACTGCTAACGAAATTGGGTAAAGTACGGTGGAATGGAAACCCTAAAGAGTATACGGACCAGTTTGCGGCTGTAGCGGAGCGTGGAGTTGGGATCGCCCCCGACGAGCTCGCTGACTTCTACTGCGCTGGGCTGCCAACTGACCTGCATCTCCTCAATACAAATAATGGGCTGGTCAAGTATTCCTTCTGGGAACAAGCGGCGACAGCAGCAGCGCGACTCTATGAACCTAAGCAGACCGTGCTAGAGCTACGAGAAAGGGCTAGTCGAGCAATAAGAGCTGCTACTGAGGCAAATGCAACCCATCGGAAGCAGGAAAATGAAACTAGGCCTGAAGGAAACTCCGGGAACTGCTATGAGTGTCAGGGTCGTGGACACCCGGCACGAGTTTGCCCCAGCAAAGGGGAACGGACCAAGTGCCTGGGCGAGACCTGCAAAAAGTGTGGAGGTGTTGGACACTATGCTCGTGACTGTCCTACACATGACCGAGGCTGTGCCGAGCCGGAAAACAAGAGCAGCAGGCAACCTATCCGTCCCAACACTGAGAAAACGGAACGATTAAACAAGGGGGCCTAGGCGTGGTTGGAGGCGAGCGTTCTAGGCCGCGTAGCCGTGACAAAGGGCTGATGTGTGCGGTAGCGACAGGACCTAATGCCATTTCAGTCTC